TCAATAATTTGTGATCATCACAATCTTTTAGAATGCTCTTGCAAGTAAAGGGTATGCAATGTAACTGTTCAAATACATGAGCCTGTTTCTCATGGAAAGTCAGTATCATCGACATTAAGTCACATTTCACCACCCCAAAAAGAAACCCTGTATCCATTAGCAATCACTCCCTATTTACCCCGACTACTCTCTGGCAACTATTAATCTACTTTCTGTCTATGTAGATTTGCCTATTAAACATTTCATATAAATGGAATCATACAATATGTGGCCTTTTGTGTCTGGCTTCTTTTACTTAGCATAATGCTGCTTTCAAATTACATAGGGCTTTCAGTTCTACACATCTAGTTTTTAAATGTCTTGAAAATCACAATGACTTTATACTCTTACTGGTAAATATTTCAAGTCACAATATATATTTAAGGCAAAGTTCACCATTAAAAATAATAAATAGAAATCCATATTTACAATGGTCTTCATAGTAATTTCTGATTTTTTTGACAGACTTCCCATGCTGAGGTATCAGCTCTATCATGTTCTTACGATTTGCTTGTTTATATTATTAATATTATTTTCAATAAGAAATTTGTGACGGCTGGTTTAGTTAATCTAAATACTACTTTAGTATTTATAGGTCTATAAATATTTATATATTAAATATAAGTATTTATAGGTCTAGTATTTATAGGTCTATAAATCTATTTAGCTAGTCATTATGAAAAATTACATCACAACGCCAAAAAAGTGCCTTTTTTTTTTTTTTTTTGAGGCAGAGTCTCGCCCTGTTGCGCAGGCTGGAATGCAATGGCGCAATCTCGACTCACTGCAACCTCTGCCTTTCAGGTTCAAGCAATTCTCCTGCCTCAGCTTCCCGAGTGGCTGGGATTACAGGCGCGTACCACCACGCCCGGCTATTTTTTTGTATCTTTAGTAGAGACGAGGTTTCACCATGTTGGCCAGGCTGGTCGCGAACTCCTGATCTCATGATCCGCCCGCCTCGGCTTCCCAAAGTGCTGGGATTACAGGCATGAACCACCGCGCCTGGACTTTTTTTTTTTCTTTCTTTTTTCTTTTTTTCTTGAGACGGAGTCTCGCTCTGTCTCCCAGGCCGGAGTGTAGTGGCGCGATCTCGGTTCACTGCAACCTCCACCTCCCTGGTTCAAGCAATTCCCCTGCCTTAGCCTCCTGAGTAGCTGGGATTACAGGCGTACGCCAACATGCCCGGCTAATTTTTTTGCATTTTTTAAGTAGAGACAGGGTTTCATCCTGTTGGCCAGACTGGTCTCAAACTCCTGACCTCAGGCAATCTGCCTCAGTCTCCCAAAGTGCTGAGATTACAGGCATGAGCCACTGCGCCTGGCTGTCATCTTTTTATATATATTAAATAATGCATTTAAACAAACGAAAAAATACAAATATATATAGATTTTCTCCCCACAGCTCATGGATGGTTTTGCACATCCACTGAAGTATGCACTTACTGGTTTAGAAACCACTGCTCTAATGAACACGCTAATTACATCATCCCTCCCTCCACAGGCTCTGGAATCAGGATGCCCAAATTCAAATACTGGCCCTTCCACTTACTAGTTTTGTTACCTTGTGCACACTATCTGACATCTCTGTCACTTAATTTCCTAATCTAAAAACAGGGATAATAATATCTTTTAGGATTTCTGTGACAACAAAATGAGCCATAATACATAGGCTGCTTAGAAAAGCACATGATAAATAATAAGTGCTCAAAAAATGACAGTCATTATTACGTGGTTTTTTTTTTTTTTTTTTTTTTTTTTGGCTAAAGGCAACTTACACCTAGTAAAAAGAATGCATATGTAATCAGGCCACCTTGCTCACCAGGGTTTCTTAATCTTTTCATTAATAAGCTACTGAATTAATAAAGAAGGTATATGGCTCCTTCCTCCTCTGGCCATACATTCTCTTCGGCCATCACTACTTTGTAGGCCTCCTTGGCTCTTTCTCTTAAAATTCCCAATTAATACTTTGACAATATCATGTTTCTTATAAATATATATGCAAATATACTTATAAAGCCATTTTGATTTTCAATACATTTAAAAACTAAGTGTGTACAACAATAAGACAGACCCCTATCATTTGAAAGCAACATTATGCTAAGTGAAGAAGCCAGACACAATTTAGAATAAGTGATCATAATATGTGGAAATTTCATCTTCAGGGAATTACCTCTTATGCTTAAAAAATTTCTATCAAGTACTATATTTCTTTGCCTCATCTTCAGCGGCTAGGGTTACAGCAAAACACAGAACATTTATGGACAACCAGGGACCAAGCACTGGTATCATTATCAATTACTTCCCAAGCCGATACTAAGCTCTTTGAAGGGAGGAATTTTGTCCCATTTACTCTGAATGTCTCTGTACCCTTTCAGTACCTAATGTACCATTAGGTAGTAAATGCAATAAACATCCATTGAACAGACTTATTACATTTGCTTCAAATTCTTCACACACCAAATTTTTGTCCACACTCTCAACCTTACAGAACTTAGAAGCTTTAATATCTTTGATGAGCCTTATGGTGGAAAAAGTCCCAAGTTTTTGGATGAAAACTTGAGCCCTTATGTTATTATTCAGCCCGTTTCTGTTCAGAAGACAGTATTTATCATATTTTGTAGTTAAACATTTATTTGCATGATTATTCAGTCAATGTACACTTCACTCAATTAACTCATGATAACTCAGACAATGTGTTTTTTTTCTTTCCATTGTATCCCTAAAACCTAGCATAGAGCCTGGCAATTGATTTGCTCAATCATTATTCGTTGAATGAATATTCAGGAATATATCCTTGTTAAAGCTTTTCATCTATATGACCATGCCAAATCTTCCTTTAGAACAAAGCAATTAAGTCTGTCCTTGACCAGCAGCAGTGTAACCTCAAACTCAGTGACGCTTAATACTCCTCAAAAACTAAGAAAAATATAGTATTAATTCATCCATCCATTCGTTTATTCAATACATATCTGAACTCCTTCTATCATGTATCAAGTACTGTTCTAGATGCTTGTCTCTGCCCTGATGTTCCTTGCATTATATAGGGGGAAGGTAGGAGGAAGGATACAGTAATACTAAATAATTAATAAATACCATGGAAAAAACTAAAAAAGTTAAGGGGGCCAGAGAATGCTGGGATGCAAGGCATGACTGAAGTTTGCTATTTAATAGAAAGTAGATAAGAAAGGACTCTTTGCTGAGGTCAACACTTGATTAGACAGAGGAACAGCAAGTGTGAAGGCCCTGTCTAGCAGTATGGTAAATCTATTCAATCTCTACCAGTGTTTATTAACTGGGGGTGATACTGGCCCTCAAGAAACATTTGGAAATAGGAGGAGGTATGTATTTTGGGTTTTCACATTGATATTAAATAAAATAGGTGAGGGGTGGGATGGACACACTAACCTACAATGCCCAGGAGAAGTTCAAAGAATTGAAAGAATTGAGCTGCCCAAAATACCCATTAAATTTTTGCTGGGAATTACAGCATTTTTGGTTTTGCTTTTAAATTGCTCTCATTATATTATCAAATGTCAATGAATAAAAGACTGCATAAATTATTTATGATGCAATCATGTAACAAACACGATGGTATGTTGTGTAAATTTAGCTTATCTTAATTCAACTATATACTTTCAATCTCATTTTCTCCAATATGCTGATTCATCAAATTTCATATGAGATAGGCTAGGTCTCAATTTAAGAATTCAGGTGACACTTATTCCACAACGGACTCTTCTGCCTTGTACAGTATACAAACACCTTGGATGGGAACTGGCATACATTAGCCATCAAATCAATTAGAGAAACCTTTCCCCATTCTTATGTGGTAACAGTCCCCATTTCCCACTTTCTCTGACAGACAGTCATCTCAGGTTTTAAAATCAGCTCAAAAGATACCTTTTCCATGAGGTTTTTCCTAACTTTCCCAGTTGTTCACTACTCAGTACCGCCATAGCAACCTGGTCTCTTCTCCACAAGCACGCTTATCAGACATACAGGCTTTTGTTTACCGATCTCACAAACTAAACTATAAGCTCTTCCGGGAAAACAACTACCCATCCATCTTTGTATCTCCGGCGCCTAGTACAGTGCCCAGTGCCTAGCAGGCGTTCAATTAATGACTGCAGAAGAAATGGAGAATGAATGACCTCCAAGTTAAGCAAAGACTGTATCAAACTCAAAAATGTACGTTTAAAAACCTAAGACTCTAGAAATCGGCTGCATGAGCTAGGTTAAAGCAGAAAATAGGACCGGAATGCTGGTAGGTAGAGAAATCTCCACCTGACTTTTTCAAGTAAGTCCTGAAAAGTATCAACTTCAGTGTTTCGATGCAACATTGTCCACATGCAGGAGTAAAGACAACACTTCTCGTGGTCTCTTCCTACCACGAGATCCCGAAACCCATCTCCCACCCCAAATCCGGGAAATCTCACTTTGGGGATCCCAGGACCCCAAGTTCCCTAGATGAGGCTCTCACCTTCCCATTCGTGGGAGGCTCCTGGATGTAGATGTTGCTCATCCTGGTCAGTACAAAGGACTCTGCTCCTTATGAGGGATGAGAGCGGACGGCCGGTCACTAAAACTGTCCGCCTACGAGTACACTCTTCCTTAAGTCGAGTAGTGCAGGAAAACTTCAGTTTGTCAATATCACGCAAGACGGGGACACCAAACACTACCCTTGCCCAAAGGAGCCCCTCACGGACGCCGCCATGTTGTTACCGGACCCGAGCACCGCTAACCCTGAGAAGGGTTATTCCAATGTATTCCAGGGAACGAGAGAAGTCTGTAAAGTTATTATAGCTTAATATAATTTGTATTACAATATTAGAACGGACACTTAATAAGTCTTGGCGGTGTTTACACTACTCGCGTGTGCAGATCAAACTGAACCCCCCCAAAAAACTATCAGTAATGGTTCGGACCATGTGTCTTCTGCAATATGACTCGTCCAGAAACTGCATCCGCGTCTACTGGTTCTGCTGCCGCTAGAAACGTACAGGGCCTTCCCCACCGTAGCGAAGGTGCTGCTGCGCTGGGGGAAGGAAAACGGCGCTTTGGCTGTGCCTTGTTCTCGCAGCTGGCGGGAAGCAAGCGCCACTTCGAAAGCCGGAGGCTCAAGTGACCCCTCTTACCACCGTCATGGCAGTCCCAGGTAAGGAGCAATTACAGGGCCTCTGCGTCCGGGATCTGAAGGGAGCGCAAGGGATGGTAGGGTAGGGTGCGGGGTGTGGGAATCAGCGCCCATGGGGATTTAGGCGGAGGCCTTAAAATTCACAGGTTTGTTTTGTTTACATGAAAAAGTTTACACTCCAAAGACACACTCTGAAGGAAAGAAAGTAACTGTTTTCCCCCAGGAGCCAAGCCCCAGCTGCATGGGATTACAGGGAAAGTGTATTGTGGAAGGGAGGGAGGAGGGAGAGACTGTGACTGTGGGCCTAAGGGGGCAAGCAGCCAAGAAAAACTACCTTAACTATGGTATGGCTTAAAACTAAAATTTGAAGTGGGAACACTTGGCCGACCCAGGTAACCGGAGGCGCCGTCTGTCTTAGAAGTCGCTAGGACCCACCGGGTGTCCGGGTTCTACTCCTAGCTCTTCCTGTTGTATGTAGCTCCTCCGTGGCCATAGATTGGTCGCTTTTTGCTTCTGGGCCTCAGTTTCCTTATAAAAAGAAGGAGCTTTGTTGAATTATATATAAGATTTATTCTAACTCTCAAATTCTGTGTCCAGAAGTTACTGACTTAAAAACGGTGAACTCTGCAGAATAATTACTTAAAAGATTTTCTCGTCCTCAACTACCAGCTTACTTGGAAGTTCTAGTAGCTGAGAGCATCTCCTCAAACCGGCTTTGCCACTGCAGAACAGTGTTTGCAGGAGACATTTTCAGAAATATACACTCCTACACCCCACCTCCCAACTTGGAAATTCACAGTGCACCTGAGTAATAGAAAAGATTCTGAGAATTACTATGGTTCAGAGCCCTGACTTTGTTTAAACCTGCCCTTCCCAGTATTATTTGACCAGATTCTTTGTTCTGTGGCAGCCTTTTTTGAAAATATTTCTATAGATAGCTGTTATTGGAACACTGTGCTTTTGTACTAACTGCAGTTTGCGGAGGAGTACATCAGGAGCTGTGAGAGAGGAAATATATACTCTTTATTAAGCCTACTGTGTGCCAGGCACTGGTACTAGGCATTGAAAATACAGTGGTGAGCAAGGTAGACATGGTTACGCTTCACACAGAACTTAGAATTTAGCAGTGAAGAGAGAGAAATTTATATAAAGTGGGACAAGTGCCATGACAAGAAAAATACAAGACCTTAGGAAGCACAAAGTAAGGCCACGAGATACATGCAGGATGGGCAGAAGGACTTTCCAAAGGATGTAGCACTTAGGAGGTGATCTAAATTGTAGGAGGGGTGGCTTGAAGGGAGAGGAGACTGCAGTTGGAGGAACTGGATACGTAAAGGAAGAGGAAATATGTGAGAAGAGGAAATGAAAGATGTTTTCTATGGACGGAACTCAAATACAAATGGGAGATAAGTGAGAAATTAAGTAAATATTGACTAATATTTATGTGTCAAATATGTCAGATACTGTATCAAACATTGTATTCTATCTCATTTAATATTCATAACTGCACTTTGAAATGAGTATTAATATTCCCATTTTACAGATGAGGACACTGAGGGACAAAGAAATCCAGTAATTTGTCTATTATGAGATAGCTGGTAAGCAAGAGGTCAGTCTGGTTCCTCTAGACTGTGCGCGTCATTCATTTTACCATCGTATAGGTTAACTTCCAAGGTAGTTTCCAGCTCTTTAAGGACCTGTAGACCATGACAAGAGGTTTGGCGTTATCCTACGAATGGTAGGAAGCCATTTAAGGGTTTTAAAGCAGATTCACATTTCGGAAAGATAATTCTGGCTAGAAAGTAGATTGGAGACAAAGTTTACCAGTTAGGAGTAATTCTGGTGAGTTATGATAATGTGTGGCTAAGATATGGTCTCAATAGGTAAGGAGAGAAGCGGATAAATTGAAGATACATTTTTGATGGTAGAATCACTAGGAGTTGATGATTGATTCAATATGGGTAGGTAAAAGAGGAAATGAGGTTTACCTGGGTTTTACTGTTAAGCAATTGGGTGGGGCTATTTACTGATATGACAACACCTCACAAGGGGCAGGGGTTAAGGGGATGATGACATCCAATTTGGGGCTTGTTGTGTTGAGGTTAGTCAAACATAGGTATGCAAATAGTTAATAGAGATATAATTTGTAGCTTAGGAAAGAAGTCAAAGACAATGATTTGGGTGTTATCCACACACATAATAGGAGGTAAGGCTATGGGAGTGGAGCACTCTGCTTAGATGGTGTGTAGAATGTGAACAGAAGGTCTGTGGCTGAAGCCTGGTCAATATCTAAGAGGCCAGCCATGAAAGATAAACCTACACGGTAGATTGCCTAGGCATCCTGATAGGCCAAATCAGCTCTGGTGATCTTTGTACTACACAGCTGTACTCAAAGTTGACCGGTTACCATAACTGCTCATTTCATTGCTTGAGCAAGCCTTTTGGGCACCTGTGTGATATGGGCACTCTGGAGGAAACAGTGCCATAGCCTGTGCCCTCATAAAACTTTAGGCAGTACATAAAAATGTGCTACTTAAGAAAGGGGACAAAAGTGATTTTTTAAACCCTTATTAAAATTCTCTTAAACTTAGACCAGTGTTATAGATATGTTAACCTTCTTTCAATTCAAAATAATGCGTCAAAGTATAATAATGTAAAATTGTGCAATTAAGCCAGACGGCAAGGTATAGATAAACTGTTTAAACCTAGCAAAAATTGAGATAATAGGTGTGACAGTGCTGTAAAAGTACAATGCAAGTGTCATTAGAAAATACAGATACAGAAAATCATAAGATAATTTCTTGGATGATCGATCCAGACAGGGTATTAAAGGAAAATAGGACTAATCTAAACCTTTCAAGGTGATCATCAAGGAGGACAAGTATTATGTTATGCTCTTTAATTTTAGGTTTAACGGATTCAGTTTGGCATTTCTTGGGGTGGTCCTGCTAGTGATTATGACAAGGTATGATTATAAAGTAACAAGGCTATTTTCTGCAAACCACACATAAAAATCAGCCTTGTCTGTTTTATGATCATGTGCTTCACCTGTGTTTTCATAGCATTGTGTATAAGCTTATACCATTATATAGGTAATACAATGAAATGTAGGCATTTAGGAAAATCTTACTCTTAGTCGTTATTATAGAAATAATATTTGATCACAGGTTTCAGTGAAATTTACTTTCTTTGAAAAACTGCTTTTCCTGTTCACAGTTGTTGAAATTACCTCCAACATTCATGTCAGTGATTCACCACTCTCCATGAAGAGTTGAACTGGCACAAGTGGCAATATATGTTACTGATATAGTTGGCACAAAACTGTTTTCTTATTATCTCCTTCACTGAAGCCTATAGCCAAGGTAGGGAGTTTTTCTATGGCCAAGTTAACATTTCAGTCTGGCACATCACAGTGAATAAGATTTTTAAAACACATTATGATAGTATCTTAGTAATAGAAGAATTCTAAATTACATCCAATTGCTCTTTATTCCTAAACTAGACTATAGGTAATTTCTTTTCTCTCTAGTCTATATTGCACTTTGCTGCTAAAATAATTTTCCCAAATCATATATCTGATCCTGCCATTGCTGGGAGGCATGAACTTAGTTCTTCACCCCTATCTGTGAATTTTGTAATTCTCTTCAAGCCACTTAACCTTTTGGAGATTCAGTTTTTGTGTCTCTATAACAGAGTTGAAGGCTAAGGTTTCTTAAGTTTCTAACGTGTTAAAATGCCAAATCTCTCCATCTCTCTCTGCAAGAATGAAGTGCACACTCCCGAGCCTGACCAAATCACTGTTTCTACTCTTTCCTTCCACCACTCCCCTCATGTGTTCTACAATCCTGCAAAAATCTGACTTGGCCAATTATTCTGTGAACCTCTCAAGTGCTTTCCTACCTATGAGCCTTTGTTATTACCTCCTATTTTGCCTGTAACTACCTGTGGGAAGCTTTCCTGATCTCTTAGCTGAAACTCTTGCCTGCCACTTTTTCATAGTTACTAAATAGAGCTCTGTGTCTTTTATGGAACCTGGCACATTCTGTCATGGATTACAGCTGTGAGTGCATTACCATAGATAAACTAGTATAGTGTCGCTTCCCATGGGCTCCATGCAGCTCAAGATGACTGTGAATGCAGCCCAACACAAATTTGTAAACTTTCTTAAAACATTATGGGATTTTTTTTGTGTGATTTTTTTTTTTTTTTTAAAGCTCATCAGCTATTGTTAGTGTTAGTGTATTTCGGTGTATTCTATAGTTTATACCCTCATAAAACTTTAAGCAATACATGAAAATACTACTTAAGAAAGGGGACAAAAGTGATTTCTAAGCTCTTATTAAAATTCTCTTAAACTTACACCACTGTTAGAGATATGTTAACCTTCTTTCAATTCAAAATGATGCTTCAAAGTATAATAATGTTAAATTGTGCCATTAAGTTGGATGGCAAGACATAAACTGTTTAAACCCAGCAAAAATTGAGATAATAGGTGTGACAGTGCTGAGATAATAGGTGTGAGAGCGCTGAGATAATAGGTATGACAGCACTGAGATAATAGGTGTGACTGCCCTGTAAAAGTACAATGCAAGTGTGGCCCAAAACAGTGTGGCCCAGTGAAGCCAAAAGATTGAATATCCCCGTAGGGGCTTGATTCATCCCTATGGCTTCTCTAACATCGAGTTCAAAGTTATACCCATGATAGGTAAATCAAATGAATAATTAGAGGGTTGATTACTAGAGGGCTGGGTACTATTTCTGCTGCTCAGCAGCAGATTTCTGCTCAGCAGCAGAAATAGTACTAAACAGATTAAACTAATACAGTCTTCATTCTGTTTCATTAGGTAATTAAATTTCTGTCTCTTAAACAATTTTCTCTGTCTCTTCTTTTTTTATTTTTTATTTTTTTGGGACAGAGTGTTGCTCTGTCACCCAGGCTGGAGTGCAGTGGTGCTATCTTGGCTCACTGCAGCCTCTGCCTGGCGGGTTCAAGTGATTCTCTTGCCTCAGCCTCCTAAGTA